AGTGTATGTAAATTATTCAGTTTATTCAAATTAAGTCTGAAATTCTCTTTTATTTTATATAAGTAAATGATTTGAAAGGTCGTTGTTACACATCAGACTCGTATTCGGGGGTGTTACAGTTTCGTCTCACTAGAGACATTTTTTCTTTAAACAAAATTGATCTCACTTGAGATTGTTTTCTTAAAAACAAATTTAGTCTCGCTTTAGACAGTTTTTCTTAAAAAAAAAAATTCGTCTCACTTGAGACAGTCTTCCTTATGTCACGAACATTTGAGATTGTTTTTCTTAAAAACAAATTTCGTCTCACTTGAGAAAGTTTCCCCAACAAAAAATATTTTAAATTGTTTCACTTGAAACAAAATTTATCTCACTTGAGATTGTTCTCAAAACAAAATTCATCTCACTTGAGACAGTTTTTCTTCGAAACACAAATTTTGAAATTGTTTCACTTGAAACAAAATTGGTAACATTTGAGATTGTTTTTTTAAACAAATTTCATCTCGCTTGAGACAGTTTTCCCTCAAAACACAAAATTTGGAAATTATTTCACTTGAAACAAAATATATAAACCTTTGAGATTGTTTCTCTCGAAACAAAGTTTTGTCTCGCTTGAGACAAGTTCTCTTGAAAAATAAATCTTTGAGATTGTTTATCTCGAAACAAAGTTTTGTTTCGCTTAAGACAGTTTCTCTTGAAACAGAAACCTTTGAGATTAATTCTCTCGAAAACATTTTTGTCACGCTTGAGATAATTTCTCTTTAAACATAGGAACTGTGTTGTCTCCAAATTATCCCTAAAGACGGCTAGACGTCCTCATCACATAAGAACAATGTCGTCCACCGACCAGATCTCTTCAATGCGTATGAGCAGTATCATCCTCAGATAACAAGACTTCCTCATCATGTAGGAACCGTGTTGTCTCCAATTTATCCCTAAAGACGGCTAAATGTTTTCATCACGTAGGTAAAATTTCATCCACCGACCAGATCTCCTCAATGCGTAGGAGTAGCGTCATCCTCAGATAACCAGACTTCTTCATCACATAGGAACTGTCTTGTTTCCAAATTATCCCTAAAGATGGTAGACATCCTCATCACGTAGGAACAATGTTGTCCACCAACCAGATCTCCTCAAACGCGAAGGAGCATTGTCACCCTCAGACAATCACACTTACTCATCACGTAGGAACCGTGTTGTCATCAATTTATCTCCAAATTAACCATATTTCCTCAGCGAGAAGGAATAACATCAACTTTAGCAAATGATTTATCTGAAAGCGGCCAGATCTCTTCAACATGGATGAGCAGTGTCTTCTTTAATATCAAATTTCAAAGAAAGAAAGAGAATCGAATAAAAACTCGCCTTGTCATATTTGCCCTATTCTTGTTAACGTAAGAATAGGCAAAGAGGGAAGATGTAGGCACTCGTTTTTTTCCCTGGGCACGACTACAAACAACATCCCATGCCCGATACAGTTGTTCAATCCAAGTCTTAGAGCGAAACCCGTTGGTGAGCCCAAGACCCGATTGGGTTTCTTCACCTAAATTGATTAACCTATTTGCAACACCATACCCTGCTATCCCATTCACCATACACTACCAGCTCCACCATTGCCCTGCCAACACCATGCTTTGCCATTTGTTGCCCATACCTCCACGACAGCAACAACAAGGCCACCATATCCCCCAAATCACGGCACCACCAAATGTGCCAACCAAATCATCAGTCAGATTAATAATGTATAATTTTTTCTTTCTTGTAAAGGATGGGATAAAAATCCCAAAAAAATATTGTAAGGGGGCCTTGATTTCTCTCTCAGCTCTCTCGATTTTTCTCTTGTGTCTTTTTTTCTCTAAAAAATTTGTAATCACTTCCTATTTTTAAGAAATCAATACAAAAAGAAAGAGCAATGAGCATTCTTCTTTCATTTTCTACGTTTTTCTTCTTCTTTTAATTTCAAACTAAACAAGACAAAGCACAGAAAATAAGATAGGGAAAGGGTTTTCTTTACCTTTGTTGTCAGCCCTTATCGTTGGTTTGGGATGTCGCCAGAGTCTGAGGAAGCATAGAGGTTGGGGTTTGGTTTAGAACCGTTCGAGATAGTTAATATTTTATAGGCCTTTTAGTATTTGGGTTGTTTAGGTTTTGGAGTAGAAAAGAAATCAAAGCTTTTCGGTTCATCTAGGGATGGTGGAGCCTCCTCAGTAGTGGCTAGCGGCGTTCAGAGTGGTAAACGACCACCAATACATGGTGCCCGATGTTGTTTTTGAGATCTCAGCCTTCTCGACCATAAGGAGAGAATATAAGATGAAGAGCTTTCGTTGAAAACTAAGGGGGAGGGGGTGCTTAGTTTAGTTTAGGATTATGTTTTTTAGACTTATAAAATTAGGTTTATATTAAAGTTTTGGGTAAATCTTGTCCAAATCCCTTTTATTTAGCCGCATATTTCTATTTTGGTCACTGATTTCATCTTTTATCTATTTGTTTTGATTTAGGTTGCATGTTATGTTTTATTTTATTTTGGTCACTTGTTATACTTTTTATTTATTTCGAATTGTTTTGTTGATTTCTATTATTTTTATTTTGGTCACTAGGCTAATTACTCTTTGTAACCTGTAATTTATGGTTTAAATCAATTTAATCTCCTTTGCTTGGTATGTGAACTTCTATTTTATTTGTTTTAGAATTTATGCATCTGGTTTATAGCTTTTTTCAATGTAGTACATTTTTAATTACTTTTGTTTACATTTATGCCTTGCTTTTTATTTTTTATTTTATTTTATTTCTTTGTTCATTCTCGTCCATAAATTTATTGTTTATTTATTTTTCGTTTATTTGCACGTTTGTCCTTTATTTTTCAAGTTTATATTCTAAGCATTTATTATGTTTATATTTATTTATTTTGTTTGTTGTTGACCATTTTTTCCCTTTAAACTTTTTATTTACACTTTAATTTCTGCCATCTTACCTCTTATCTATGTCTTTATTATTATTTTGGTATGTAATTTATTTCCTATTGTTATTTATTTTTGGGATTCGTTATATTTACATTCATGCATAATAGTATGATAATACTTATATATTTATTACCTTTAATATTTGGATATATTTAGTATATAAGTATATGTTATTTATATAGCACGAATATGTGTTTATATTAAATACTATAACTTTAATTTCATTTCCAATTTTATTTTGGTTTCCTTTTTATTTTTCTATATTCAATGAATTGATTCACTTTCCATACATCTTGAAGGCATCTTTTAAAGTTTCCATAAGATTTTGGATGCATTTTACCATTTTCCGTTAATTAATTTCATTTGATTCCTAGTTTAATCCTACCTTATTTCACGCATCATTTCCGTTTGACACCTTGTACATTGCATTTATTTTAGTCTATATATTAATATTTTATTCCTTTCATTTTACCTTTTGTGTATATATATATATATATATATATATATATGTACTATTATGTTTATTAAATGTACCTTATATTATTACATATATGTAAATACATTATATGCCTTATATGCATTTATATCTCGGTTAAGTATATTTTAATTATTACATTATATATGTATGTTTATATTAGGCGATAATAATAGTCGTATGACATGTTGTATACTATATTTTATGTATGTATAAATTATGTACATCTTGTATACTATATATCTTATACTTATTGTTTTGTTTCTCTTCTGATTTAATCCTCACATAATTTGGTTCATGTTACTTTTATTTTTATCATATAAGTATGTTTATGTATGTTTATTTTCATTATTATTATTTGGTCTTTGTTGTGTGTATATATTATATCATATTATTCATATATTTGTATATATATATTCATTGACCCTTGTATATTATATATATTACTAACATTTATTTTATTTTGTTTGACCTTATTTATTTATTTCATTTTATAAAATGCTCAATTCAATGTTTTATATCTCCTGTACTTGATGTTAATTTTCTTTTTATATATTTTTTTTTGAATGTTTTCAAGAACACTCCATCGTAGAATAGGCGTGAAAAACACTGTTTGATCAAAGTAGTGTGATTTGATACAACATCCATACGACATTCGAACGCGAAGTGAACTTGAAATAAGTCGAGTTTATTTTTTATAAAATTGATAATTAATTCATTTTATTTAACTCAAATGATGGCAATGCTTGTTTCTTTAAATAATAATTTATTTTATGCAATCACCGATATTCAATTTATATTCTAGTCATATATTATTGTTTCCATGAATACATAAGGGGCATTCTTTTATAGAGAGGAAATCGATGAGATAGCATTCCTAGTAGTTGAAGTGCAAATCTCGTGGTCTCTTCTCAAAATATGGAATGTTCTTTAATAATTTGAAATAAATTAATCAATAAATGAATCATAATTTAATTTTCTATTTGAATTTTTATTTCCATCATTTACGAAAATATATAAGCGACTAAGTACCAATTTTGGGCGTTATGGGGTGTTTATCCTTCCCCGTGCGTATTCGACTCTCATATCCTAAAAAAATGAATCTTTGATAACACATACCAATTTTTTCTTAAAAACGATTTTTCTTAAAATTATTTTAAAAGACGTTTTAGATATTCGATCTACTAACCCAACTATCGATGACGACTTTTATTCAAATTAATTCAAAACCTTTATTTTCTTCAAATGAAGTCATAATTATTTTTTAAAACTTAACTTTTTTTAATTTCAAAAAAAAATTGGATGCAATTAATTCATTTTGTATAAAGCTTGTAATTTGGTCAGCATCTGCCCCAAAACATGTAAAGTATAAGACCCAATTTACGATTCCTTTTTGTTTTTTTTTTCGTACTTTGCCTTCAATTTCCCCAAATTTTCCTTTTCAGTTCCTTGTTTCCCTTCGAGTTATCCGCTTTAACTCCTTTACCTTCCCCCCCCCCCCATGCTGTAAAACTCCATAAAAACACATATGTTCATCGTTTGTTTTCCAGACTTGTTCTAAGTTTTAGCTTAAAAGAAAAGATCTTATGGGGAACTGTCAAGCAGCTGAGGCATCCACGGTGGTGATTCAACACCCTGGAAACAAGATCCAGAGGATTTTCTGGTCGGTTACTGCTAATGAAATCATGGGTTCGAATCCCGGTCATTACGTTGCTCTCGTCGTCACCTCACCCACTTTAAAGAAGGAAAATGGCACGCCGGTGAAGCAGCTCAAGCTCTTGAAACCCAATGACACTTTGTTAATCGGCCATGTTTATCGACTTGTCAGCTTCGAAGGTTATTTCTCATTGCTTAATCCCTTGCATGCACAACTTGTTAAGGATAGTATCTTTTTCTTATTCATTTGATATTAATTGGGGCTTCTTTTGAGCCAGAAGTTTTGAAAGAGTTTGCTGCAAACAAGTGCGTGAAACTTGGTAAACTGTTGAAAGAAAACGGAGGGCTTGGGGTTGGGATGGAGTTGAAGAGAAAGGATTTGTCCATCACTGCTTCCAATATGAACTCAAAACTCAACTCTAAATCTGACGACCACAGTGATGTTAAGGTAATTAAACTAAGCTCAAAGCTTTACAACTCTCTGTATGCGTGAACTACTCTTTCAAGTTCCCTGAAAATTAACAAAAACTTGTCATGAAAGATGAGCTAAGCTTCTGAAACGAGTAATAATATTAATTCGGGTCTCGAATTTCAAGACATTTATTTAAACTAATAACACTACAGTGTGGCCTGTTTGCATCAAGTCTCCTCTTTTCTGCAGAAAAAAGAAGGTGAACTTTTATGATCTGAAAAAGTAAATAAAAAGAAGGTGAAAGTGGAAAGTGGAAACACTTTATCTGCAAAGTGTTTGTATAGTATTATGTTTTTCCTTTCATCTTTATGAGTTGATAAGTTAAAAAATGTTATCGTATGGATACAGGGAAGAATCTTAACTTAATCACCATTCATCATGGTGACTTAAATAAGGTGACAAATATAATTGTCATTGATTATGTTTATAGAAAAGGCTAGAGCTTTTTCAGAAAAATAATTTAAATTGCTGTTAAAATGACATGACTATATGTTTTGTTTGTATGCGATTAGTGGCGAAGTGTGCACGTGTGTGCCTTTCAAAAAGCCCAATTAGACAACTTAGGTGTAGGTGGTTGACTAATTGGACCATAAGAATTTAGTCCAATATCTTGTCTTCTTCGTACGGTGTGGTCTACTGCAAAGCTGGCAAATGAATGGATAAGGATCCAAATGTAGTGGAAAACTTGGTTTCGAATTGCCAATGTCTTATGGGTGCCATTGTCTATTTGCATGTCCTTTAATCTTTTGCAGGTGGGGCAGGAAGTTAATAGACCGGGAAGCAGCGGTGGCGGAGCCAGCGGCAGTAGGTATATGGGCAGACATCATGGCGGTGGTAGTGGTGATGGGCAATGGAGGCCTGCCTTGATGACCATTGCAGAATTTGGAATTTGAAATGCAGTGCTGTGCTGCTGCATATTGCATGCTTCTTCTCCTGTCATTCTCTCCCTCGTTGCAATAAAAAACAAGCATTATATGTAAAGAAATAACCTTTAGTTTCACCCTTTACAACACCTTCATGCTGTTGCCTTTTTGTCGTAGATTTTAGAGAGGTAGAGCTTGGGTTAGATGTAAAACCATTTGGTCATTCAGAAGAATTGTAAATGTTGTGATAATTTTTCGATTTTTATTTGACAAATTGGGACATCTTCTAGCTTAATCCAGATCATACAGAAGCCGCTCATTTGCATAATTCTATATGCTCAAAAGTTTAATCAAAGACTATGTAAACAATAATCAAAAGCAAAATTCTAAATAAAGGCTGAAAGAAACACCAGCAGGAAGTTGTAACCATTTCATGTCTATCCTATTTTGATTTTTATGTCTTCAGCACCAATCCTATCTTGAATCGTTTAAAATTTAGGGTTAACTACATTGTTCCTCTCTTATCTTTATATTTTGTCCACTTTTATTCACTCATTTCAAAAAACGTAATATATAGTTATTTTCGTTTATATTTAATTAAGACATAATCACTTTCGTTTTTATTTAATTAAGATGTGGTCACCACGAGTTAACTACCATCAACATATTAGGTGACGTGATATTTTAGTATAATCACACATTTAGTCTCTGTTATTTATATATTCTCTCAATTTAGTCATACTTTTAATAAATTAAAATAAATTTAATCCTTAAATCGAATGATACTACATGTCACTAGTACCACTTATCACCATTCGGTTAGAGGACTAACTTTATTTTAATTTAATATATTTATTTTCCACCAATATTTTGAAAAGTTAGTCCTCTAACCGAATGGTGACACGTGGCACGACATGTGCTACCAGTGACACGTGACATCATTCGATTGGAGGATTAAATTTATTTTATTTTATTAAAAGTAAGACTAAATTGAGAGAATATATAAATAATAGGGACCAACGTGTGGTTATATCAAAATATTTAACGACATTTTACTCGAGGTGACCACTTCTTAATTAAATAAAAACGAAAGTGACTATATATTATGTTTTTTGAAATCAGTGAGGAAAAGTGAACAAAACACAAACATAAGTGATCAACAATGTAATTAACCCCAAAATTTAATATATGAATCTGATTTTATTTATTAGGGATATTGTTATTGAAATACATTTTATTTATATTTATTCAATATGTAAACATTTTAGAAAATAACACTAAAATAAAACAGAATATTATACTGGGTAGAAAAGAATAAATTACAAGAAATAAAACAAATTTACTATGTCATGGAGAATTATTATTTTATAAGTAATTTCATGATAATAAGTGTAATTTTAAGATGGATGTTATCCCTTTGAAGTTAGTACATAAACTTTTAGATTCATACACTCACATATGAAAGATGAAACTTAACCCACATACAAGGATGAAATTTAAATAAAATTACAATTTGTTGAAAAACAAAGACAAAAAAGAAATATATATGAAAGATAAAATTTAATCCACGTATAAAAAATGAAACTTAAATGAAACTACTCTTTGTTGAAGGAGAAAGACAAAAAAGAAATATATATGAAAGATGAAATTTAATCCCCGTACAAAAGATGAAAAACAAAACTACTCTTTGTTGAAGAACAAAGACAAAAAATAAATATATACAAAAGATGAAATTTAATCCCCTACAAAATATGAAACTTAAACAAAACTACTCTTTGTTGAAGAAAAATGACAAAAAGGAAATATATATGAAAGATGAAATTTAATCCGCGCACAAAAGAGAAAACTTAAATGAAAACTACTCTTTATTGAAGAAGAATGACAAAAAATAAATATATATGAAAGATAAATTTAATCCACGTACAAAAGATGAAACTTAAACAAAAACTACTATTTGTTGAAGAAGACAAAAAAAGAAAAAAAAAGAATTAATAGAAGATGAAATTTAATCCACGCACAAAAGATGAAACTTAAACGAAAGTACTCTTTGTTAAAGAAAAAAGACAAAAAAAAGAAATATATATAGAAGATGAAATTTAAGCTGTGCACAAAAGAGGAAACTTAAATGAAACAACTCTTTGTTGAAGAAGAAAGACAAAAAAGAAATATATATGAAAGATGAAATTTAATCCACGTACAAAAGATGAAACTTAAATGAAACTACACTTTGTTGAAGAAGAATGAAAAAAAAGAAATATATATGAAAGATGAAATTTAATCCGCGCTCAAAAGATGAAACTTAAATGAAACTACTCTTTGTTGAAGAAGAATGACAAAAAGAAAATATATATGAAAGATGAAATTTAATCCACGTACACAATATGAAACTTAAACAAAACTACTCTTTGTTGAAGAAGATAGACAAAAAAGAAATATATATGAAAGATAAAATTTAATCCACGTACAAAAGATGAAACTTAAACGAAACTACTCTTTGTTGAAGAAGAAAGAAAAAAAATAAATTTATATAAAAGATGAAATTTAATCCACGCAAAAAAGAGAAAACTTAAATAAAACTGCTCTTTGTTGAAGAATAGTGACAAAAAAGAAATATATATGAAAGATGAAATTTAATCCACGTACAAAAGATGAAACTTAAACGAAACTACTATTTGTTGAAGAAGAAAAAAGAAAAATATATGAAAGATGAAATTTAATCCACGTACAAAAGATGAAACTTAAAAAATACTTTTGTTGAAGAATAATGAAAAAAAAAAGAAATATATATGAAAGATGAAATTTAATCACGCAAAAGAGGAACTTAAAAAATACTTTTGTTGAAAGAAAAAAAAAAATATATATGAAATAAATTAATCACGTACAAAGATGAAACTTAAAGAAACTACTCTTTGTTGAAAAGAAAAAGAAATATATAATATGAAATTATCCACACAAAGAGAAACTTAAATGAAACTACTCTTTGTTGGAGAAGAAAGACAAAAAAGAAATATATATGAAATATGAAATTTAATCCACAAACAAAAGATGAAACTTAAACGAAACTACTCATTGTTGAATAAGAAAGACAAAAAAAGAAATATATATGAAAGATAAAATTAAATCCACGCCCAAAAGAAGAAACTTAAATGAAACTACTCTTTGTTGAAAAAACAAAAAATAAATATATATGAAAGATGAATTTATCCATTCAAAGATGAAACTTAAACGAAACTACTCTTTGTTGAAAAAAAACCAAAAAAGAAATATATATGAAAGATGAAATTTAATCCACATTCAAAAGATGAAACTTAAACAAAACTATTCTTTGTTGAAGAAGAAAGACAAAAAAGAAATATATGAAAATGAATTAATCCACGTACAAAAGGAAACTTAAAAAACTACTATTTGTTGAAAGAAGACAAAAAAAATATATATGAAAATAAAAAAAGGAAACTTAAATAAAACTACTCTTTGTTGAAGAAGAATGACAAAAAATAAATATATATGAAAGATAAAATTTAATCAACGTACAAAAGATGAAACTTAAAGGAAACTACTCTTTGTTGAAAAGAAATATAGAAAAGAAATATAAAAAAGAAATATATATTAAAGATGAAATTTAATCCACGCACAAAAGAGGAAACTTAAATGAAACTGCTCTTTGTTGAAGAAGAAAGACAAAAAAATATATATGTGAAAGATGAAATTTAATCCACGTAAAAAATATGAAACTTAAACGAAACTACAGTTTGTTGAAGAAGAAAGATAAAAATTTAATTTATCTTTAACGTAAATATATATATATATATATATATATATATATATGTGTGTGTAAAAGATGAAATTTAATTTATGTACAAAATATAAAACTTAAACAAACTACTCTTTGTTGAAGAAGAAAAACAATAAATATATATGCGTGTGTGAAAGATGAAATTTAATCCACATACAAAATATGAAACTTAAATGAAACTACTTTTTGTTAAAGAATAAAGACAAAAAATAAATATATATAAATGAAATTTGATCCAATTAAAAAAGATGAAACTTAAATGAATTTTTTTTTTGTTGAAAAAAAAGACAAATGAAAAGGAAGAAAAAAGTATATGATTTTTGGTGTGAACGATAATGACATGAACCTTTGTATTTATAAGAGACATGGGAGGGGTAATGTTGTAAATAAGAGATGATTTTTAAAAAATCCGCAATGGACCGAAGTAATCCATAATTCAAAACTGTTGAATCTTTCTTTAATTGCACCCACTGTCCCTAAACTTTAACTTTCACTCTAAATTAATCCTCAAACTTTTAAATATTTCAATTTCATCACTAAACTATTAATATATGCTAAAAAAGTTGAATTCTCTTGAATCCTTCTCAAGATCATAATAAAAAGAGAAAATCAGTGGAACAAACATAAGAGAAACGTTTTTCGATTTAAATTGGGACAAGTTTTGGAACATAATTAGTAGGGAATTGATAATCCATAATTTAGGAGGTAAATATTTTAAAATATTTATTAATATTTTAATTAGTGTCATTTTTTTACTTTACTATTTTGAATAAGTTCAATATAAAGATTTAGGGTTTTGTTTACTACCATCCAGATGTAAGTTGTTATTAATTAGTATTTAGTATATTATGTATTGATAAAAAATTATGTTTTATAATTGGATTTTTGGAAAAAGAGTACGTGAGGCCCTCACTTTTAAAAAATAATATGATCCTTGTATTATTTTTATATCCAATGTGGATCTCAAACTTAGAAAATAGTTTTAGCGTGGGCTCATTGACCAATGATTTCTGTCGTTGACCGTTATAATATTAACATGGCATTTCAAGGTGTTGATGTGGTAATCCACGGTGGTTGGTGACGTGGCTGATCAGCTAAATTTATTTTTTGGGTTAAGTTCGAGGGTCAAATTGGTTTTTTCTAAAAGTTTATGGACTTATTTGATATTTTAAAAATAAAATATTTCTAATTTAAAATAAAAAATTATTCAAAAAATTAAATATAAAAATTAAAAATTAAATTACTAAAAATTAAAAATATGTCATTATATTTTACCTCA